TTTCTTTCGATTCTCAAAGAAAAGAAGACAAACACAAATAAAACCAAACAGAAACAAAACTGAGACTGAACACTGAACGTTCCCTTGCTATAAAGCTCTTGTGTTCTGTTCTCACATGAAGTGAACGCATACAGGGGTCCTGGACATTTGTTCCCCAACACCTTATGCACCAGAGGGGAAAAAAGCATTCACGGAGTGAATCTTTATGGAGATTCAGAACACTTTCGGTAGATTCTGTCATATGCTTTATAAGTTCCTGACTGATTGTGTGGAATTAAGTTATTGGGCAGAGAACCAGCTAATGGAAACACATTGATGAAATCATTTTTGAGGGACATTAAATGGAACTTAAAATAAAGCTGAAATGGCTTTATGGATTTTTCAGTCAAACTGTTTATGAACATTTATTGGTGGTAAATTACAGAGTGTCAGAAGAAGGAATCAGTAGGTATGGCTTTTAATAGAAGTCGCTCAGATATAATACTGTGAGAAAGAACAGTTTATTGCTTAGGGATGTATGATACAGTATGTTTAAATACAAATTGAATGATTGTTTTCTCCTAACTGTCTTTGGCCGTTTGCAGGTAAGTTGCCTTTAGCAGCAGCAAGTCTCATAAGCTGAAAAAATATTTTCTGTAGTTTGCAATGAAATGGAAATTTTATACTATGCATTTTTTGTGGTAGATAGCAGATTTTTTAATAATATAACTCAGGAAGCAGACACTGTTATACAATAGTTAATTTAAATTTGCTTTATGCTTAGTAAAGGAAGAAGAAGGATATAGTAGCTTTGCCTGAGAAGGGAGATTGTAACAGCTAATTCTTGAACAGTGGGAGGCACGCATTAGTACTGTTTGCCAAAACCCTCATTCCTTGGGTAGGGAATAGTGAAAATATGTCTGTGGGAGTGCAAGACTGGAAGGCACCTTCTGGTCTTGCAAATCCTGTCCCCTCGTTTTGAGATTCCACACCTTATAATCGTGATTTTGTCAAATCTGTTGCTGTCTGTCACATCTACTCTAAGAGAAAAGCTGTTTCCATTTTTTGCTCCCCTGGTGGCTAGAAAACACCTCCTTATCTTCCAAAATGTATTTGGGACCAGTTTATTGATATTTGCTTTCGTGCCAACATTGGCCTGTAGCCAGTAGTTCTTTTTCCTTTGTGTTATTTATCCTCCTAATGTATTTATACACAACGTTCATATCCTTTCATTGTCATGCTGCTGAACTAAAAAGTCAAGTCCTTCTAGTCTTTTGTAGGATAGGTATTTTCAATTTCTGATATCAGACAATATTTCCTTTCTCTGCACTTTCCTCAAATGATGATGAGCTGGAGGCTGCTTAATAGTTAAGGATTCACTGGTGATTCTTAATAAATGTGACTTTTGATTTTTTATTTTTTTTTACGTTTCTATGTTCCCTTTCAGTTTAATGGTTTCCTTCCCTTTGGCCCTGTCCTGCTGCTATGACTCATAAGTAGCCCTTGGCCCCTTTATGGGATGTTCCCATCCAGGAAGCATCCAATATGGAGAAGAAATCCTCACTACTTTCTAAGCATATGGCCTTAGATTCATATTTTTATCTTTCACCTTCTCCCTCTCTTCTTCCACTCCCTAAGGTCATTCATTTATTTTTCCATGACATCCCAATCCTCCTCTGCAGACCCAGCATGGCCTAATTCAGTATCAACAGCATATTTCCCCCAAACTTTCCTTCTTTTTGTGCCAAGGCCTTTAGTAAAAATTTTAAATGAGGTCACTTCCTCCCTTCCTCCAGCCTAACAACTTCTCTTTCAACACAGTCCAGCACTGATGCTATCATAGCCTGGCTGGGGACTTCCATAGTGGCCAAGAGCCAGACTTTGACACAAATGTCTGTATGGAGGACATCTGGGGAGCTGCCGATCTCCCAGGCAGAGACTGAGGCTCTTCATTGTGCAAGAGAGAGGGGTGGTGGCATTGGGCACACTTGAGGTATATACAATGTCAGGTAGGCCAGAAAAGATTAGAGAATGGATATTTACGGTTTCTCACAGTCCAAGGCAGAACAAGCATCCAGTGAAATCAGCAGGCAGCGAGCTGAAACCAAAAGATGAACTTCTGCAAAGTATTTAGTCCAGCTGTGAGTTCCTTGGTACAGAACTGGGGATAAATAAAATGATAGTGAGGTACAAAAAGAGGTGAGAAAAGCTTGTTGGTGTCTCTCCAGTGGTCACAGCCAGCTCAAGGTGTCCCTCAGCTGCTGGCAGCCAGAGTCAAGGGAGGCATGGGATGGTTCAGTCCTGGTTCCTCAGCATCCCCTCGTGGCTGCTGTCCTACACAGTGACAGGGACAGGCGGCCCTATGGGAGAGCTCGTGTTCTTAAGAGGGAATAATAAGAGGTGATACTGTCAAGGCAGTGAGCCTTATCAAGGTAGGTAGCCTTCACTTCTAATTCATATCAAAAGTGTGAAACAAAGATTTGGAAATCTCATTCCTGTTCTCAGTGCATAAAGGACTCTTCCATGGATTTGGGAATGATGAACAGAGGAAAAGAGGGTGTAAGATCTGTATGAAGGGAAAGGAAAATGAGATAGATGAAAGGAATAAGAGGGTTTCTTTATTTTCGGCCTTCCTGAAATGACTACATCGGAGTCTCCATTGGTTTTGTTTCCAAAGTTACTTCCTGTGTTCAAAAAAAAAAATAATGAACATCTGGAAAGTTCCAGGTCATTAGAAATATGCAAAAGTTTTCCCTTATTCTTCAGACAGTTCTGGTTACTTGCGGATCATACATTTAGTGTGTAAAAATGGCATAATACCCGCATAAACAGAGTCATCAAATAAGCAATGCAAGTGGAAAGGGTGCAAGAATATCTATCTGCATCTCTCCAGCTTCACTTTCTCATCTTTCTCACCTCAAAAATCATTGTGCTATTATGCAGATATGTGCAGGCTGCGTCTTTTGCTAAGTTTCATTGCAAAGCTAATAACCAAGGCAATTGTGTGGATAAGCAGAGACTTAAATCATTTGGAAACTGTTGAGAGAGGACAGATCAGATAATAATAACCTTCATGGTTGGCAAGATACAGCTGCTTTTGACAACTTGTAACAATGAAGACTTATAGTAAAGTTAAGAGCTAAATATCTGTATTGGGCCATAGGATCAATTTTAATTCCTGAGCATAAAGCCTCAAACTTTAGGCTGCTTTCATCATCTTTGAGATTACTTTGCTGTTCTCTCCGTTAAAAAGTAGGAGTTGCTTTTTGTTTTACAGAGTGCTTATTTTTATTCTGATTTTCATTTAACACAGTGGGATGGTTCGGTTAATCTATTTCACTGTAAGGAAGGAGCAGTCGTGGAAGCCACGTGTGTTTCTCACCTAGAACAGTAGTTACAGAAGGATGTTGTGTTTGTGTGTTTTGCATCATCTCAGAATATTTTTTTATTCTGTAGTGCTGACTTCCAGAGTGCACAAAGGTAACAAATTTAATAGCACATCTTAAGAAAGATCTCAAATAGTGTATCTAAAAGATCTTGTCAGGATCTGCAGTTGGCACCAATAGCTTTATCAAAGAAAAAATTAAGGATTTTTTTTTTTAATGCCACCGTTAAAGTTTGCATTGGATAATTGGTCACATTGAATCTGAATACAAGACTGTAGGTCCAGATTCAGGAATATACTTGCTCACTGAGTAGGCAGCTATATTGTAGAGATCAGGAAACATAAATTTCTAGTGCACTGGTGTGGGTAAGGCTATCATTCACATGTGTTAGCTGTGGAAGTTTCAGTGGGAGCAAGAAAGTGCCGCTGTGCTGCATGGAGCGGTAGTGACACCCCTTGGGGACTCCTGCACACAGCCCTGAGGTCTCGAGTGTTTTAGGAGTGGAATGAGTTCAGAAAAGGAGCAATAAAAAGCCCAGAAAATGTGAATCATTCATGTTCACAGGGAATGATTAGAAAGATGCAACTTTCCAAGAGAAAGTTGAGGTGGTTGGGTCCCCATCAGTAACCAGCTGCGGAAGTTGGGGATTTCTGTTCATGCAGGACCCATTGGTTGGCATGCAATGGCACGAGAAAATGTAGTGTCTGAAAGCTTATGTGAGACCAATTCAGGTTGGATACACATTTAAAAATTGGAACAATTAGACAGGAAAGGCTTACCAGAAGATGACATAGGCTGGTTTTGGCTTAAAAATTAAATAGGAAGAGCACATCTTCCTCAAGAGACAGTCACAAAATATGGACCCGATGCAGAAATGGCTGGGTGAAAACATCCAGCCTGTGTAATGCAGGTGGTCATATCAGGGGATCAGAGTGGCCTGAAACTCATGAAAGCTGTTTAATATTACCTAGCAGTTTGCAGCTCGTAATCTAAAAGTACTCATCAAATTGGGATAGTGCTGTCCGCCCCACTGTCTGTACAAGAAAGGGGAAATGTGCAGAAGTTAAATGACTTCTGGGTCTCATGTCAAACCAGTGGCTGGACTGGGACTAGAACCTTGTCTCCTGCCTGCTCGTGCTGCATTTGAGCCAGAGAACACCTCCTTCATTTTCCCCAGGAAAAGCGCAGCCTGACCTGAGACACTTCCAGTGACTGAGCCGAAATTTGGTTTTCTCCTTTGAGTATCTCTCAGAGCAAAAGATAATTTCTTGACATGCATGCAGGTTCATTAATGAGGGATGTAGCTGGATTAGAAATCTGGTTACCAAGGGGGTATCTTTTCCAAGCTCACTGCATCAGCTGGGTCAGCAAACACTTCACACGCTCAGGGTACAAGCAGCTGCTTTTTTTTTACAGCCAGGAGTGCAGGTTGCAGGCAATTCCCAGTTGTAATCAAGGCAACCAATTTCAGGTAATCAAGGTCTGGCTTTTCCCGGGGACAGAAGCGATGTGTGCAAGAGAGAAATGGGGTCAGGGAATGGGTTAAATTGCACCTAGGTATGATTTGACAATCACTCCCCTGATAACAGCTTATAATGTTTACAATTTGTCTTCTGTTTTGTTTTGTGATTTCAGGAGCAGAAGGCACAGTGTTCCCTAAATCTATAGAAACTCCCAATGTCAGGGCAGACCCCTTCAAGGAACTAAGGTAAACTTTGGAATATGGTTTAACGGTAACTCAGGGGCACCTTGCTGGAGTTGTGCATATTGCTGGGCATCATTTCTGCTTTTGCACAGGAACTTGGGCTTTGCTTTGGCTGGCATCACCAAGGGGATGCCATGAAAGAGAAGGGATCTTCCATGTTTTTGTCTAACGTGACCAAGCTAAAGGCAATCATGGGTAATGAGAGCATCGTTTCTCCTCTGTAACACACTCTGCTTGCCCTGAGCTCAGCCTTTGCAAAGAAATAGAGAAATCTTTTGCTGGTTGTGCAGGGAGGTATGGGAGTCTCTGCTGAATCACAGGGTGTAAAAATAGCCAAAATGGTAATGCTCTCCAGCATTATCTGTCTTGAAGAAATGCAAACCCTCTCTGACCTACGCTGGGTCTAGCTGTGCATGTATGTCTCTGCTGAAACTTCCAGAGATACCTCTTGCTGACAGCAGTGTATCAGGAGGGAAAAAACTGCACAGTTCCTGAGAACCAGCTTTCCTACAAATTAATGCTATGCATTATATAAAATAAAATATTAAAAACAAATAAAATATAAAAAAATAAAAAGAAAAAAGGTCACTACAGGTTAGTTTTGATGACTACTCTCTGGAAAAAAAAAAAAAAAAGATCATATGATGACTAAATCTGCAGTGAACCTTCTAGCCAAAAGGGCTGTAGGGGTTTTTCACCAGTGCTCAAATTATTCTTGCTTAGAAAGACAGAAAAAATGGAAAAGGACATCTTGTCTTTATATCTTGGGTTGCAAACACTCCTCTCCTGGAGAATGGTGGGGATAAAACAATCTTCAGACAGCTGAAGTTGTGTGCAAGCACTGCAGATTTGCTCTGGACGCACAGAGATGGGAGACAACCTCTCATTAACTCTCTCTGCCTTGATACTGGGGGTAGTTGTGGTCCAGCCTAGATTACCGTGAAAGATGAACAACATCCTGGCTGCCTTCCCTTGTGTCCATCACTAGCTTTCAGTTTCTCTCCAGAAACACTCTAATTGTTCCCAATCTGCACTCTGGGGATCACATGTCAGACCAAATGTGCACCAGTGATGTGACTCAGTTCATTATGAAAGTTTGTTCTCTTTCTCAGAGTTGTGTCATAAACACCACTTTGTGTTTTTTTTCAACATTGGTATACTTCCTTTAAAAAAATAAAGAAGAAATTAGGTCTTTGGTCAGCCTGCTGTGCAGCTGCTGGGGCAGCTCCAGAGGCTGCTGTGGTGGAAGGAGCTCCAGGAGGGTACGGGAGGGTTGTGCAGGGCACACATGCCCTCCTTTCCTCCAGGAAGAGCAGGCGAATGAAGCACTCATGAGCTGGGTGGAATTGTGGGTGAGGTTCAAGATGCAAAGGCTTTCTCACTCAGCCAATCACTGCAGATATTTTCAGGAAAAGAAAAAAAAAAAAAAAAAAAAAAATCAAATAATAAGATCATGTATTGTATAAAATATCCAGCAGCATCAAAATGATTTAGACAATCAGGTCCCATTTCTGGTAGTGATTTAGGTCCAAGTTTGTGCTTGCTTAGGAGTTTTCTAAATGTGGGAAGGGAATTTAATCCAAATAAATGTAAGATGTCACATTAGAGGGGACAAATGTAAATTAAAGTAGCCTTAATCTGATTGAGTATGCTTCTGTTCCAAAGAGAATTAAGCTAAATGAAATTGAAATGAATTAATGGTGGTATCCATGCAAGGGGTTGATCAGTATATTCGATCTGCTTTAAATTCTTGTTATTTCACTTGTTCTAAGTAGAAAGCTGTTGGATAACTGGCTTTCTTTGAAATTAGTGGACTGTCTGAAAAAAAAAATCCTGTGTTAAAAATCTGGTGATTTTATTTTAAGGGAAAATAATTGAAATTTAGTAGGACTTAACTTTGGAAAAGGACCCAACAGGTCCCAAAATATTTTATGTGCTCCTGAAAATTTTATCTTGGCAAAAGATGGAAGCTTTTTCCACCACACTGAAAGGAAAAGAGGCAAGGGTAGCATTGTGTAGAGAAAGTAAGGTTTCCTGAGAGCAAATGCTCTATTCCTCCCCAAACCAAGAACCATCCTTCTCTCTCTACACGTATGCATGCCCAAGTTTGTTGGAGCACTGCCTGCCTTTTAGGTGAAACGGATCCTGTTGGGTGAAGCACAGAGTTCTTACAGGGGTGACATTCTTTGGCACCTTCCTGTTTTGATAGCAGTGTATGTGCATAAGGTGTCCTTTAGCCTCTTTTAAAAGATGCTGCAGGGAAATGGGACTGAATGAGGTAGCTGCCTACGGGTCTAGAGCTGTTGTCTGTTACCACTAGGAAAACAGCATTATAAACATGGACTCAGTGGCTGGCTTGACACTAAAAGACCTTTTCCTGTAATAAATAGTACCGACCTTTCTTTCCTCCTTCGGCTGAAGTTCCTGGGAAGAAGGTGCACGGTCTGTTATTGTGGGCTGTTGCCAGCACCTCAGTCACTGTTCCTAGACCAAACGGCTAAGATTAGTTACATGATTGATCCATTTGCTCTTTTCAGTGGCGTAGAGACTCCCACTTTTTCTTTAGGAGACTTCAAAATAAGGTGACAACGACTGTCACTAACAGAAAGAGAGGAGACCAACTGCTCCTGTCACTACTGGGAGTCAGACCATCTGTATGTCTTCCTTCCCTTCCTCCTCTACTTAACAGACAGACTGATTTCTCCTTCGACACAGGCAGTATGCCATTGTGCCAATCATTTCTGCTTCTTTCCTTCTTTTTCTCCCATATCCCACAGCCCTTCCGTCATGCCCAAGTGTCACAAAGACTGATACACTCCAAGCGATGGCATATATATTCTCCATAGACTTTCTGTCCCCGCTTAGCTGATGAACGATCTTTAGTTCATACAGTCCCAATTCCTTTATTAGTAACTGGCTGCTCTACAAGGTGGCCACGTTCCTGGAGAACAGACGAGGTATCTGTCCTCTCAGAGCACTAGCAGGCTCTGTGTGGTTCTTTTTTATATGTGCCCTTTTAAAAATACTTTGGTCTACAGTGGTTTAGATGGAGGAAATTCATGTGGCAATATGTGCTCAGCTTTTTCTTACGTGCTAATCCCATATGAGAGCTGTACGGCTGCAGGAGTTGGTTGAGTGCTGGTTTGACCCAGGTCCAAACTTTACTGCTGTCTTCTCAGGAGATTTTCCATGATTCCCATGCTACAGAAAGGCTCATGTGTCCCAAAACAAGAATCCTACACAGCCCAGTACCAGTTGTATTAGGAACGGCAGAGCTCATGAATGCCCTGTTAAATGCAGGGGATGCAGGGGTGGGTGTTATTAATGGTTCATATTTTCTTTGTTGTGATCTGGAGTGTTCTTTAATAATTACTTTAGAGTAGAAATATATGAAAAACTATTAATATACTTTTGTGGATACTTTCATGTTTTTACTTAAAAGTTTTGGTAGTCGTTCATAGGGTTGTAAACTGGTCAAAATAGTAAAAATGAAAGCAAACAAATTCAAATTATGTTCTCTCTTTTTTTTTTTTTTGGACTGCTTACCATTCAGTATCATTCCAGAAGAGTTTAGGGGAAGGGTTTTGGAGATTTGTTTGGGGCATTGAAATATTTCTAGCAATCTGTATTGACTCGTTAAAATGCAAGTTGGTGTCCTTATGATTGCCTGTATATAAAGGTTGAATTCCTGATGCCCTTTTCTCACAGGATCGTTTAAATAGAGACCAAGTAACTTGGTGGGAGCCTGTCCTGAGAGCCTCACCTTGACACTGACAGAAATCACCTGGCCTCTGCTATTTGTATTCTTCCAAAAAGGAAATATATATTAAGGAGTGTATCAGAAGTTGTCTGACAGTCACAAGTTCAGCACTTCCACTGCCACTGAGACATCCTTCGAGGTGAAGGATAAGGGGTAGACTAGCTGATGAGGAGGAAAATAATTGGTGGGTAGGTAATTAAAAAGTGAGTTGCCCGATACAAGAAAAAAACATCAGGAGGGTGATATTAAGCTGCTAAGTGCCGGAAGCTAGGAGGATGTATGCTGGATGGGTGCTGTGTAATACCATCTGTCCCTGGCTCTTGGTAAGATCCAGTGCCTGGGCTTGGTGAAGCCTTGTACTGACACAGGGTGAGAACATGTGGGCTTCATCTGCTGTGACAGGCACCGGGAACGTGCCTCCTCAACCCAAACTCCCTCGCTCAGACACAGGGGTAGGTATCAACCCCATGGCCAGGTCATGCCAAGCAGGGGCACCTGGAGTGCGTTGCTGGAAACCTGTTTTAGGGCATTTCTGTTCCCAGAGTTAAATAAAAAGAAATCAGCATGCAGTTCCCTCCATGAGGAGCAAGCACAGACCTGGAGTACATATGCTGTTATTGTAGGTTAAAAAAAAATGCAGTAAACTGCTTATCCAAGGCCAGGAAACAAATGGATGATTTTTTTTATTATTCTTTTTTTCTGTAATACGAAAATATAGTTAAGGGAGAATTAATCCCTTGGGCATGAAGGGGTAATTTTTGACCAAAGTTAATTATGAAGCACTGAAATTACCAAATGGAAGATGAAATGCACTCGCAGTTTGATTTTATTAGTGCAATTCTACCTTAACATGTACAGTACTGAACTATCCAAATAGTCCAAGTGAGACCTATTGTACCAAAAAGCAATTTAAATACAGTGCTTAGCTAATGTAACAATAGTCGTTTTGTAAAATAATAATTCTTATCGAATTAGGGTTTCTCTCAGCTCTGTTTCGCAAAGCAGCAGAGACATTTTCAATAAGTATGAACACAAATAATGTTTCTGTCTAAAACCCAGTACCTTAATGAAGATTAAGAGAGCAAAAATTAGAGAGGGGGGAGAGAATTGTATAAAAGAGGAAGTATTTGGTGGGAAACGTGTCATTTTTAAAGAGTAGTGTGTGATCCTGAAACATAGTTTAGTTTACAACAAACACTTGGGGATTTCTGTCAGGTGTCAGCAAGGGAAAAATAGTAGAAAAATGGTCATTTTAGCCTTGTATCTAACTGGTGTTATTTTTGGACTGATATGCCAGAAAGGATGCAATTATTTTCTCTGTTATACCAGTGCAATCCCAGTAATTTTGGCAGTCCTATCAGCTTAAACTACAACAGACTTTTGCCTTGGAATGAGCTTTACTTTCCACTTTGTAAGAAATATGTGATAACTATTTTAATGTGACACAGCTAGGGCAGGATTTATAACACTATCTCCATTCAAGTCAATGCAAACCTGTCAGTGTACAACTGAAATGAGAGAACAGGTTCTTCATTTCTAAACTTCAAGCTAATTTAAGTGGACCCTGATGAGTGTCTTTTGAACGGCAGAAGTCCTCATCACTCCTAGACAACTAATCTAGGAGACCATGTGCAATCTAACAATTTTCTCATGACAGCTAAAGCTTCCTGAAGAACTTGCTATTGGATGAGACTTTTCCAGAGTAGCATTCACACTGATTTCACAGCCACAGCCGCTTTGCTTTAGCCTTTCCTCTTGTTGACATCCCTTCAAACCTGCTGCCCATCCATCTATTATAGAAGACAAGCCACAGCCCTCCCAAGTCAAAGGAAGCCTTTCCATAAGGCTTCTTGTGGATGGTGTACTGAACGCTTTACACAATGCATTTGATATAAGGTTTGGGGTTAAGGATGCAGTTGCTTGCAGGGGCTTTCCATCTGGTAGAATATTCCCATTGCAGAGGGGACTTACTGTTCCCTCTTGTTGCCCCAGCAGATCTCCTCTTAATGGCTGTCACCTCTTTCACACCCGGCACCAGACAAGGGGGTTAGCTCTTGGTGTGTTTTCCTTCCCTATTTTTAGCAGGTGAAGCCTAGAAACAGATCAGATAATCAGGAGGCACACACCTGGCAAATGGCAGAGGCATTGACGGAGCTTTGCTGACTTATCCCAGCTGTATAAATCATGGCACTGCCCTGCTCACTGTGCTGCTAATAGGATCTGTCCATAGACAGGCAGATCCTTTTCAAGGAGGGCTAATGGACAGTGAAAGCAGGCTTGGCAGGAAAGTGAGCCTGGCATAAAGGTGCTTCGATTGCTGAAGTAAAAAATGAGATCGGCTCAAACTAGGAAAAAAAAAGAAAAAGAAGTCAGACTTTGTGGTTGAGCAACCTGAAGTTGGGTGCATGGCTCCTTTCAGATGTAGTTGTGTCCCCTGTGCTGCAGCTATGTGTGGGTGCAGGTCTGTGGGCACAGGAACATCCACCAGAGCTACATGGCCCTTCAGTGAAAACAGAAGAGTGGGAACAGGGAGGTAAGGGGCAGATTTCTAAATTAAGTTGCTGCCAAATGGCATAGCGTATGGGGTAGACAGCAATGGAAATCTCTTTATTTGGTGGTTGGTTGGAGGATATGCAAGGTTCCTCTCCTTTTGTATATATTTAAGGAGCATAGTCATAAGTGTATGCTTATTACATTTCTCTAGTCAGAGACCAGGGCAACTTTTCCTGGTCTCTGAACAAAATAGCACAGCTTGGTTCATTATTTTCCTTCTGCATTTATTCCATAGTGGTTTCCTACTGCAAACAGTCTTTTTTTCTGGGAAATATTAATCATCAATCCTGCGTGTTATCTCAGACTGAATATCTTTCGTGTATACAAGATCTGTGTCCTGCCTAGGTGCGTTACGCCTGTGATTGTCATTAGCTTTCAACAGCAGAATATCACTTGCTCTGTAATCAGAGCATTCATCTAACCTTCGAGTGGCGTTCGCAAAGCTGTACAAGCCAGAAGTCCTCTGGGACTTGAGAGAAGCCCTATCAGTGTTAGTAATCTGTACAGTCATATCCACATCCATCCACTTGAATAACAAAAATGTAAGCTGTTTTTCCTTTTTTTAACTCTCTGTGCAGCACACCACTAACCTTGAGTAGAAAATAGATGCTAATAAATGCGAGGTCTTAAAAATGTGAATTATAGCCATTTCACACTTCATGGCAGACTCATACTGGTGAAATGGCTTAATACTTAATTACAATGCTTGTCCTTCTCTCAAGTGCAGATGACATTCCTCAGATAGATTTTTTAATGACATCTGTGGAAATAAGTTGAGAAACTAATTAGTTATTCATATAATACAGAGTATTGGCCGTGTTCTGATTAAAAGGATGTGGTGACACCCGGCTAACATGATGTATCTTTCTGGTAGTAGTTTAGTCTGCTCCCTGAGGTGATGTTTTTTGGAAGGTCTTAGAGAAAAAGATAAAAATACCCCCTAGCCTCTGCAACACAAATGTTTATAAAAGACATTGCCTTTCATTTATATTTTGCTAATGATTAATCAGGGCTACTCCGGTCAGGAGCAGCATACCTCACTGCTTGTGCCCTAGCAGGAATGCCTGGTCTGCAGGCTCTAAGGACCATTTTTGTAGCGTTGACTTTAATGGGATCTGTAGGTTATTGACTAACTGCAGCCGTAAGCCTCCTGAAAGCGATCATTAGACAACTACCCAGAGAGAAGGGCCAGCAAGCCAGCATTTGTTTCAGTGCAAGGTGGGCAATGTGTTTGCCTTGCAGCAGAGCCTTGCAAGTGCTGCATTAACGTGGGGTAACTGGGAGGTGGTGGGCTGTGAATCAGCTGGTGTGCTGGTGTGGGATGTGGCATTTGTAATACTCTGTGAGAGTCTCAATAACTATTGTTTTAGCATAATATTTGCATTTAGAAAAGAGCTATTGGCATCAAGGATTTTGAGCATGAAATGCAGAAGTAAACAGAAAGGAGACAAGGAAAACATCTTACCCACCTGTGGTCCCAATCCCATCTTTAATTCTTTTGCAAATAGTGTGATATTTAGGATGTAATCATGTTCAAAATGACTGAATAGCTCTGAAGAGAATGAGGTTTTCCTTTGAACATAGTTCTTATCTCAAAGAAATGAGACGGATATAATCCACTGAGCACCATGTTTGCTTTTGAGTAGAAAAACTCCTGGCTTTCTTCAATATTTCTCCCTATCTTTTTATATTTCTCTCCAGCTGTGTATCTTGCATTTCTAAAACCTGAAGTGAAGAGCAAAGCAGGCAAAATAAAAATCTTTGCCTTACTCAGCACTCAGTACTTGCCTTTAAGGAGGGACTATCTCCCCACTGAGCCTTTGCACGCGAGCCTGGACGCTCTCTCGCAAACCAAAGCCAGCTCCCGCAGCCATGCAGAGCACAGCATGGGAATCACAGCTGGGGTTTCACTGCTGAAGAGCAGCAGTTATCAACCAGCTTCCTGAAACCCGAGTGTTTAATATGGACTCCTCATTAACCTGGTACAAAATAGGAAAGGACAGTTTAGATTCTTTCCTGCCCAAGTGAGAAGATGCTGGGTATTTTGTTTCCTACTGCTTTCTGCTCATGCCTGAGGGCTTGGCTGTATCAAGGCAATAGCAGTTATTATTTAGCGTGAGCGAGGTACTTCGAGCTGTATGAGTCCATTGTGATTAAAAAATACACTTGTACAAAAACATTAATTGTACTTTAGACTGGAGACAGGAATTGATAGCTGTTGTATAACTATATTAAAGAGAAGACAAATGTATCTATAACTATAATGGGATTCTTTCTTTTGAAAGCAGTACTTTGTATACTTATTAAGAGAAATCATAAATATTCACTGTGCCTACAGAATCTTTATTCTGAATTTATGGGTCATATGTAATAGAGTTGTTTTCTTTAGGCCAGACAGGGTGACTGTGTTGTTTCCTCATTACTTGAACTGATTTTATCTTCTTAATGTGCAGTGTGCTGCTGCTCTGCTCCTCATATATTATATAAATCCATACTATATTTTGCAGCATGGATTTATCCCATAGGTTTATGCGGCACCTCTGGCAGCTTTGAATAATAATAATTTCCTACCAAATGGCATGGCTGAGGTCATACTACAGGAATGTCACTCCTTGCTTTCAGATGGTGTTTGGACTCAATTCTGCCTCTCTCACAGACGCAGTGCATGTCTGATGAGAACCCGTTTCTAAATATGACTCAATAGTCAAACTCGTGTCCCTTAGGCAGCAGGGCAGTACTTAGAGCAAGAAGGGGGCTTGCTTGGCTTTCTGCAGTGTACCATGCAAGCCCACCATCAGAATTAATTGCCATATCGTCATTGCACTTCGTAAGGTGCATTGCAAGGGAGGCTGTCGTTTTGCCTTTAGGCAAATCATAGCAATTCCCATGGGCAGGAATTGAAAATACATGTGCAGATTCAGCTCAGAAAACAGGATCTTTATTTTTTCTGTACACACGCCTTACAAATGCTGCATGGAAAGCGTCAAACCACAAGTGGTGGAGCTGATTGTGTTTAGATCCTGCAAGCATTCACACTAGAACCCAGTCTTGGTGGCCAGTTAGCCCATCCTGAACAAGCTCTCAGGCCTCCAATTGAATTAGCAGATGGTAGCCATAAAGTAAATAGGGGAAGCAAATGCATAATGAAGTTGTGGACGTGTTATCACAGGATGTTCTGCACATGATGGATGAATTATAAGAAGGATTACACTCTCACTCTTCTTCTCACACACCTTCCTCAAGAACATGTTTCTGCCTGCTTCTGTCAGAGGCTGGATGGACCTCACAGCTAACTGCCAACATTACCAAGCATTATCCATGTCTGTCTCGATCTCTATTGGAAGGTTATTAGGATTTCTTCCACCCAGCAAAGGTGTTTGCTGAAAGCTGGATTGCTCTGTGAGGTACCACCATGAGCAATCAGGTCCTGCTCATCATCCATTTCAGCTTTGCATCTTTGGGGATCCCTACACAACTCATAGTTGCTCCCATGCCCTCTACTTCATCCATAAGGATAATAATATATTATTAGTGTGTGACCAATATCTGCATGCTATTTCTGGGTTCAGGAGTGAGTTGGCATAGTGGTGTTACACTGGAGGTAGTTGGTGAACCATCTTGTCACTTTTGCATGCTCATACCCCATGAAGAGAGGAATTGGAAATGCATCAGCTACTTGTGCTAGCAGCACAGGCAGAAGCTTGCAGGTGGTTCCTCTTTCTCTTTTCCATCTTAGAAAAGTTGAGAGCCCAGGGACTTCACCATCTTATCTCCAGATTCTGATGATGCCTCTGAAATCGGCAGTCCTGAGTTCTTGTTCCCAGCTGAATTGGGATTAGTGTGACCAGCTTAAAAAAATAAAAAATTACCAATACCAAATGCAAAAGTGCCATATTAAAGGTGGAGCATTGCTGGTTTGAAAGCCAAAGTGCCAGCCGCCATTTCTTCCAGCAGCAGATGTGGCTGCTATAAATACATACGTAGCATGGGTTTGCTGGCAGCTAAAATAATGTTTTACTTCAGCTGCATGAGGACATGGTGTCCTTGGATAGAAGAAGTCAAACTCATAAGCATGTATTTCGCACAGTGTTGTATGGCTTTGGGTTCATGCAGGAAATGAGGAAGCAGAAATGTGATTACAACTCAATAACAGCCAGAAAGTAGGTGAGTGTCTCCAAGAAAGCCTAAAAAACACATTCAGAAATGCAGCTCAGTTCTCCAGAGAGGATAAACAAATTTCTTGGGGTGTGGGCAGTAGCTGCAGAAGGAAAAGAGTTTTCTCCCAGGGCTAGACTAACACGAATGGGTGTCAGGCTCATGGGACCCAGCAGCTATTTCACCAGCTGAAACTCTCCATCTAGGCTGCAATTCTCTTTCTGTTGTGTTGAATTGACGTTGGTTCATGAGTTCTCTCTTGTCTTTCACAATACAAAAAGGAAAACACATTCTCTCCCTCTTTCTCTGGTTTCATGTCATTAAGGACGGCTGTGGGAAGACTGGCTGAGGACATGTTATAAAGTGACACTGGGGAATCAAGCAAGAAAGTAAACCAAAAAAAAAAAAAAAAAAAAAAAAAAAAAAACTTAGGCCATCAAGAATCATAAAAGAGGTTGTAAAGCAGAGGGGAAATGGCCTCCTGGTGGGTTTGAGAACAGCTGAGAGGGCTGGATAATGAAGGGATGTGCTGCTGTAAGGAGATGTTCTTTGCCAGTGAACTCAGTGAAAATCTGCTTATATTTGATATAATAAGTGCAGAAAGCAAGACAGAAAAGGTTTATGCTGCTAGTGCTGAACTGCGTGGCAGTGATAAAAATATGTCGTGTCCTGTCCACTTCCTTAAGTATTAAACATTTTAAAAGACAGAGAAGGAAGTGAAGTAAAATGTCTTTTTTTTTTTCTATAAAGGATTTGGTGTCTTAACTTTAATGAAGGAATAATAAATATAAATGGATATTAGTAGAAGGTTATTAGAGCTGTTCATTTTGATCGAAAATATGCAGTATCTTCTCAAGCGATGCCAGAGGTTAAAGATTGTTATTGCTTCCTAAGGTTTCTGAAATTAAATTCTCTCTCTTATGACCTACAAGGTATGGTTGATTGAAAATGTGTGCATGTGAAATGGTTTGTAATAAATTCATATTGCAATTAAAAGTCTCTTTAGAAAACAGGCTATCATACACCAATCAGCTGAGGAGCTGTCTCTAAAAGATCATAGAATCATTAAGGCTGGAAAAGATCTACAAGATCATCTGGTCCAACCATCACCCTACCACCAGTGTCACACACTAAACCATGTCCCTAAATGCCAGGTCCAACACCCCCAGGGACGGTGACTCCACCACCTCCCTGGGCAACCCGTCCCAATGCCTGACTGCTCTGTCTGAGAAGAAATGACTCCTCATTTCCAGCCTGAGCCTCCTCTTCCGCAGACTAAACAACCCCAGCTCCCTCAGCTACTCCTCACAGGCCTTGTGTTCCAGGCCCTTCACCAATTCTTCCTTAGCCTCTTTTTTTAAGACACCTGACAGGTGGGAGGTGTGTGTGGTGCCTCATCTCTCGATATTCCCCAGATACACCACTGACAGCACACAGCATGCTGTGGTTTTAATTTATTGAGCAATTAATTTGTATTATTTCTTTCTTTCTTTATTGTGATGGGGAAAGCCGCTGCTACGGCAATGGATGGGACAAGGCACGATACTGAAAGGAGGGAATTCTTGAATGCGTTACTGCCTTTTTATTGAGGTAACAAAGGCTCTGTAGGGCCAGCTGATGACAACACCATGTGGAGGGGGATGTTTTTCCCCAGCGAGCTTCCACACAGGGAAGCTGACAAGCACATAAAGTGTCTGGAACCACCACTTCTACACACAGCAGGGCACGTTTACCCCTGCCGCCTGATCTCCCTCCTCGTCTCAGAGGCGCAGCCCCAGGGCCCGGCTCTGCCAGCACGGGGCCGCCCCTCACCACACCCGGGCCCTCTCCTCCTCCTCCCCCCTACGGGGCCGTTCCCTCAGTGCCCGCCAAAACGGCCTGCGGTGACGTCACGCCCCGCTGAGGCGGGAGGCCATTTCGAATAAGCCTGAGGGCTTTGGTTCTGGAAACTGTGGTGTTTCCAGAGTGATCACTGGACTTTTATCCAGTTTATATATATCTAATTAATTACAAATGACATTTCTGACAGATACTCTCAGGGTACAGAAACTAAGTCCTTCATAACCACCATTTCTGGCTAAACCCTCCACACGACCCAGTGCGAGGTGATCAATTCTTGTTCCTGGAGGGCAAAAAAGCCCGTCCTGAGAGGGCTGTGCCAGCTTCCAGCAATGTTTTTCTGTTCCTCACCAAATCTAAAACCTTTAGGTCATAAAGCAGGCATCGGCTTTTTTCACTATATTTTTCAAGTACAGAAACTGTAGTAATGTGGGATTATCTGTGCGTTTTGTGTTAGTATTGACACAGTAAATCCTGCAGGCAACACATTGCCTGTATTCAAAAAAAAAAAAAATTCCCATTTAAGTTATGAGGTAATGATGTATCTACACACCCAGTAAATGTCTTGATTTTATGGGTTCTTAGTTCAGCAATGGGGTTATTGTTTAATCTCTGCATCCATTGGGATTGTTCTAAAGAGCGAGAGGACCAAGCAATGACTTTGTCAGAAAATTTTGCAGATCTTTGAGATGCATGGCATTCAAGCAACACCACACCAGGAGTCTAAATCTATGAGTATAAAGGTTAGTTACAGATATAAAGAATAAATCAAGCAATAAAAGATGCCTATAAAAAAAGGATGTTGCCTCTGAAATGAAGACGCTCCAGAGTTCATCATAAACCTCTGACATGCATTCAGTCACTGCCTGCTGTCACAGTCTGAAATTCATTTCAAGGTGCCTGCATATTTTATGCAGTAACCTCTAATAAATACGTACACATTTTCAATGATGTTGCATCATACTTTGTGAACTGATGTGCCATGAAAGGGGAAGCCGTGTCAATGCAATGGGAGTTCTGCAGGTAGAGGTGCACAGATACGCATTAAAAATGTTTCCCTGACTGATGCAGTATGTCAAAATGTCTGTGCGATACCAGAAAGAGTGTTGCTTTCATAATCATCCCTTTGAGGAAGCTTTCCTCTGGCTGGATGCAAGTTCTCTGTTTCTGAGGGAAGCAAAACACATACTATTACTGTGGTGTCTGGCTTTCCTAGTCTAGCCTATGGTAGGTAATGGCTCTGGCTAACCTGCCAGTGTGACTGAAGGATTTCACAACAAATAAAATACTCTTTTGTTTTAGCATTCTGTCATATATATATATATGTTTGGTTTTGTTTGCATTGTGTTTTTAAGTAGAGTGATGAATAGCAAAATTAGCCTTCAAGAGCTAGGCTGAAATTTTGACTGAGCCACCATATGCTTGCACGTAATGGTTCTCTCACTCCCCAAACAGAGATTATGGCACTTTTGAAAGAATAACTACAAGAGTTTTGTAGGACTAATCCTTAAAAATACTGTCCCGTAATTTTTAGAAGCTGTCAAGAATTAGAAGTGTGGCATTGAATTATGGAGATAACTTGGCCACTTCTGAAAAGTTTCCTTCTTTTCAGAAAGCAGTATTCTGAGAGGCTGCTGGTGTCTGTGTTACCCATCAGAATCCCTCAGCCATTCTCACTGTGTTTTGCTGCAGTCAGAAAAATGCAAAGTTCTTCCCAAGAATGTCATTTTCTATAATTTAAAAAGTGCACCTTCTCAAAGTACAAGAGAAATTAAGAGTGAAGAAGAGCAGGCAATAATTATTTATTATTAGTCAACATTTCCAAAAGTAACTTAAGGCATTTGAGCACCTAACTTGAGAGATTCATTTTTTATAGTACTTGTTTCTCAACATATGACGGTTCATACTGTGTAAATATCAGAGGGTCACAAGCTGGTCAAATTAAAAAAAAAAAAAAAAAAATGTTGTCCAAGTCTGGCACTTCCTACTTGGTTAAAAAATAAACAAAAAAGAGGAACCAAACTTGGAAAGCATAGCTGATGCTTTAAGTGCTTGTGGTCACTATAGGAATGTGCAGACCTTGCAAATCTGTCTCAAGTACTTGAAAAATGATGGGATCTACTTTCAGTGAAAGGCTAGAGGCATCAGGAAGAGACCAGGATAATCGGTCACTGTACGAGAGCAGTACAGTGTCTCCCTGTGACATGGCACTACGCTTCTAATAAGAGATAATGTAATCTTAAAAACATGTCAGAATTATCATTGTTGGTTTGGTTGTTTGTTGTTTGTTTTACAGAACGATGTGTATGTATAAAAAGTCCTGAAAAGGAGTAGCAAGGGAGAAGTGATGCCTTCTATTACTTTTATTGGTTTGTCTGGTTTATTTTGGCATTAAAGTTCCCACAGTAGCAATCTCTGAAGAATTTAAAATAATATGAATTGCAGACATTGGGTAGTGTACGAGGTATATAGACAGTATGGATTCAGTATTCCTTTCCAGCTGAATAATCGCTTTATCCTGGATGGTAGAACAGCTCCAGTGGTGAACCATATTTCCAGTGTCAAACATTAATACACTCATGCAGATGGTGAGGCTGTGTTGCTTTTCAGACTTATAACTTTGAGTGATCTGTGGGCAATGCCAGGTTTGACCATGTGGAAATTCCCTTCCTCTGTGATGTATCAGGCCCAGATCGCCAGGGAGCAGATGAAGCTGTGGAGTGCAGAGCCCCAGCAGCATGTGGACAGGCAGCCAGTGAGCACACCACGCCGTGCTATTAAGCAAGTCACTCAGAAATATACTGGCAGCTTCGCCATTAGTACTGCTATACTTTTCCTGCTGTGCACTGTGCTAATATAAATATTCCCAAGCTGCTTTTATATATACTCAGGCCACCAGCATGTGTCCGCGCTTTTTTTTCCCTGAAACTACCTTTTTTATATTCAAATGGGAGAGTTTAGAGCTATTTGAATTCCATTTCTGTATTCACAGCACAAAGCAGAGAGCTGGATGTCACAGTGGCAGGACAAGCTGCATTCCTGTCCCTGAGTACACCCACCAGGCCTTTACCCTTCTGGAGCAGGGTGCCAGAATCCTGCCATTTCCAGACCAAACCCTGTGACAGCACTGAGTGCACGATGCAGAAATAACTACGCTGGCTTTGGCACTGGAAGAGGGGCAGCACAGGTACCTGGCAGCACTGTGTGGGATAATTTAGCCTCCCACATCATGTGTTGTTCCATGTAGAAACATTCTCCATCCATCAGGCCTGCCTACCCCGTGGCTGTAACTGAGCTCAAGGGCTGGAGTTCCTGCTCCTTGACAGCAAGTGTTCACAGCACAGAAGTCCCAGGCACGACTAGTAGCTTTGTCATCTCCAGCAGCAGAAAGGACTGGAGAATTTGCCTCAGAAGAGGTCTCATTTGCCAAGCCAAGTGCCTACAGCGTAACCTAGTCCACTGTCTTTGTGGAAAGCAAATATAACAATCCTTTCCACCGTGCCCAGCAGTGTTTATCTTCCAGGTTGACTGCCTGCAGTGACATTAGTGTCCCCAGAGCTTCTGAACTTAATCATTTCCAGTTGCTGC